GGATATGTATGCAAAAATCGAAACAGGACGCCTGCTTTTCCTTCGCTAAAATCAGACCAAGCTGTGTTCTGAAGGATACACTCCTTTGCATGATGCAGTTGTAAACGACGGTAATACAGATAACGTTGTAAGACTAACGCTTTTGTCGTCCACATACACAGACAATTCACGCCATACGCTCGGGTACGCTCGAGGTGCAATTGCTTAAGTTTGTCAGTACGGACGTCCAGACGTACTCCTTACATCCACATGCAATCCAGCTTGTGGAGATATTTATCAGCTCTTACTTCCGGGTTATCGCAGGTGAATAGGTATGACATCACAGTACATGTTTTTCTGCAGAAAACCGAAATCGCTCATGAACGTCATGGTGGAACACGAAGTGTCTGGGTCTATGCGCTGCCGGATGTATTAGGGGGAATGGTAAAAGATGGGGATTCCAGGACGAATGCTTCTTTCTCCGCACGGTGTTGGTGAATGCGTCCGGTTCAACGTTTTTCCAGCAATTGAAATCTGTCACCGGCGTTACGCACGCCACTTTCCGAAGTGCATGCCGGGCTCTCAATTTATTGGAAAACTGCCGATACTGGGACGTATGCATTAGTGTTGCATGCAACACGTTCCATCCACTTCGAATTCGTTCATTGTTTGCAACCATACTGACCACCTGCTTTATTTCAGCTCCAACAGATTTATGGGAGAAATATAAATCACACATGGCTGAGGATATCTTCCGTCGACTACGCAAGTAAAATTCCAAATGCGGATTTCACAGCAGGAATCTACAGCGAGGCGTTATTAGTGATTGAGGATATGTACGTAAGAAATCGCGAAAAAAGTTTCTTATCGACCGGGAATGTCGTCATCAAACCGATATGCTGTTGTTTCGTTAGATGTGGATTTGCCCCGTGAGCAAAAAAGCGCGCGAGGCCCTCGATCGACCACTTTGAGAATTACGCGAAAACAGTAGACCATTTGGAGACGTTACTGCTAATGCTTGCAGGGGACTTCAGGCAAACACTGCCTGTAATTCCTCCGTCGGCACCAGCAGACGAAATAAATGCTTGCCTGAAATACTTTTCTTTGTGGTGCCAAATCCAGACGGCAAAATTAACTACAAATATGCGAGTCCAGCTGCAAACCGTCGATCAGCTGAGGTATTCTCACAGTATCTGTTGGCAATTGGGAATGCAGCTGTGTCTTCTAAAGCGGAATTAGTTAAAAAGGTGTCTCCCACTATTCAGACCACTTTCAACAATCACGGCTGATTGAGCGAACGAGCTATTCTTGCAGCCAAAAACGAACACATGTACCATCCTAACCACATTATTCAGCCTAAGATTTAAAACGAGACAGTCACACATACGTCCGTCGACACTGTTGTGAAGCAGACGAGGCAGTTTAATTACCCAACAGAGATTTTGAATTCTCCCGAGCCACAGCAACGCGTGGCCGGGCCCAGCTAGTCCTTAATAGTTAAAGCAACGCACTTTTGGTTTTTGTTAGAAAAATAAGTTGTTTGCACCTCGTGTGGACGCTTTTCACATTTTCTGTCAGTGACATCTGTCATAAAAAATTTGTATCTTTTCTATTTAGTGTGGTAATGATTATCCCCTGCACCACATCCATCGTTCCAAAACAAACTACGGAAAATAAGTCGCTGTGGGAAACCGCAAATGCCCATCCATGCTGGTCATTTGGGGTTTGCCATAAAATAGTTAATTGAAAAACCGCCGATTTAAGAATGCAGTTGTAATTACCAGCATCCCTGGTTAGTCGGCCTATTCAGGCATTTTTGAGAATATTAAGAAATGTCCGTAGAAATTCTATTTTTCGCATGTCGATAGGCCTTATAATAAATATATGCAAACTATGATCACATTTCAACACAACCATTGCGGTAACACCACTTAGTTGGTACTGATTTACACGAAAGTTCAGCAGGGTCGACCTGTTCACTTTATTTGTAGTCCTGGTTCAGTACGTGGAAGGAAAACAATGCAGGCATAATTATCCAAATTTTTCCTCAAGAGGTGCGGCGACGTCACTTATGAATTTTTCGGAAATGATACTTCCGACGGAAACAAAAAAGCCAATATCAGGAAACAGTTGGGAAGAAAGAGATGCGATCGTTGGAATGGTATTTGTTGCCTGACGTTTCGGATTCTCACTCAAACCTCTCTTTAGAAACGACAAGAGGTACAAGGGTGCAATATTTATAGAATGCATTTACTGTGCAATCATATATCTAAAATTGATAATCGTGCTCCACACTTCGGAGTTTGACACGACTGGCTGACGACGGCTAATAAGCCAGTAATAGCCATTCCAGTCTCTCTTGTCTTTCTCGGTAATAAAATCCTGCCTATATAATGCTCCGCTGTGTGGATACTGGTTGGGCAAAACGGGACGAGTGAGTTACGTAAAAACGATCGATGAGCGCCCCTCTGCCATTGTACATTCCTTATCGCAACCGACAGGACAACGAGCCTGCAGCCCAGTGGCTGGAGGCTTTGGACTTCTAACTAAAAGGTCGCAAAACCGAGCCCCAGGCGTTCCATAATTCAGGGTTGATTATGACTAGCTGACGATGGCTAATAAGCCAGAAATGGCCATTCTAGTCTGCAACTATCTCTGATGATTGGTTCAAGTGGGAATCCGAAACGCCAGACCAATAAACTTCTTGTTCCGACGATCACTTCTTCTTCTTCTCCTTCCATTTGTTATGACCCGCCTGGTACGTGAAACCCGTGGAGCGTATACGCACTCGACCCTGGTCCCCAATACCAAGGCAGTAGACAAAGAACACACGGCTGGCCACGGAAAGTGTATTAGCAAAACACTGCAAGTCGCGACTAGCTAATGGTGACGCAGATTTATAACACGCTACTGTGGTTCGCCGGCATTCAGCCCAATGACCTTCGGGAAGATGGGAGTAGCCAATGGGAAGGCGCCTGATTGAGATGACAGCGCTGTATAAGAGGGCAAACGCACGTGATTTCCAGTGATTGGTTGGCTCTTGTGTTTGGGAGTGTAGGCACTCACAACACCTCCCCTCCATGTGGGTCAGTACCGCTTTTGGCGTGGATTGATCTGCATCGGCGGTGTTGATCGGCGCACGCGGTTGGTCCGGCGTCTTAGTCGTGGTTTGTTGTCTGGAGACCCGGAGGCAGTGACTGATACCGAAGGCGGCACATCCGAAGGCGGCGTAGCAGTGGGCTTGGGAACCGACTGATCTGCCGGAATGGCGAAGGTATCCAGTAGGATGTCAAGGGGGAGTGACGGCGCCGACTCGAGCCCAGTTGTGTTATTGCAATGTCGCCGTCGGATCTGGTTGTGATGACGAACCCAGATGTCATCACCAACGTCGACATCAAACAGCATACTGCATCTGTGCGCTACTATGGTTGCCTCAATCCAGTCTGGGAACCCACTTCGATAATCACGAACGAAGACAGGTGTTCCGACGGAAAGCTTGCTGCGAAAAATTGGAGAAGTCTGCGCGGGCTGCACACCGGTAGGAACGAGTGCATGAAACGTTGTGCGCAATTTTCGGCCCATCAAAGCTTCGGCAGGAGAAACGCCACCAGGGGACGCCGGGTTCGGTGTTGTCCTGTAGGAAAACAGGGATGCCTGGACTATCTCGTCCGTGGTCCCCTCCCCACGAGCTTTCAAGAGGGCTCTCTTAGACGTGTCGACAAAACGCTCAGCCTGACCGTTAGACTGAGGATGGTAGGGCGGGGAGCGAAGATGCTGGATGTTGTGCTGGCGGCAGAAATCCTCAAATGTCGACGAAGTAAACTGAGAGTCATTGTCCGAAACCAAGACTTCCGGTAAGCCATTTTGGCCAAAGATGCGTCGTAGGAAGGCGATAGTGGCAGATGCGGTTGCTGGATTCAGCGGCGCAATCTCGGGCCACTTCGAGTAGACGTCAACCAAGATTAGGTAGGAGACTCCGTTAAGTGGGCCAGCGAAGTCGATGTGCACGCGTGACCAAGGCCTCTCTGATGTTTCCCAGGGTACTGGCGGTTGACGAGGCGGCATCTTGGCAGCTTGCTGACATCGAGAACAGCGTCGAACCAGGTCGTCGATGTCGCCATCGATACCCGGCTAGTAGGCAAAACTGCGAGCAATAGACTTCATTCGGCTGGTACCAGGATGAGCGGCATGGAATTGGCGTAGAACAGTGGGTCGGAGGGAAGATAGGATCACCACACGGTCCGCAAACATGAGGCAGGAGCCAACCACAGATAGCAACGCTCGGCGGAGGAAGAGCTGGCGAAGATCGCCAGCGAGAGCAGTGGTTGGCCAGCAGGTCTGCACGTAGGTGATGGCCTGGCGGAGGACAGGATCCTGTTCAGTAGCACGTCGGATGTCCGCGGCAGTGACAGGGATACCTCGTATGGCGTCTGATAGCTGACGGCGCACACCGTCCTCAATCGAAATAGCGGCAATCACGGTATCTTCCTCCGGTTCCTGCTGATTGCTGATGAGGCGAGAAAGGGCGTCAGCCTGACCAAAGTCTGTAGTACGATAGTAGCGAATGTCGAAATCGTAGCCAAGAAGGATGGCTGCCCATCGCTAAAGTCGGCTGGCTGAGTAGACGGGAATGTCTTTCTTCGAACCGAAGATTGACAGCAATGGTTTGTGATACGTCAACAACGTGAAGTGGCGACCGTACAACAGTTTGTGAAATTTCTTGACGGCAAACACGAGGGCTAGAGCCTCTTTCTCTATTTGCCCGTAGGTCTTCTCCGCAGGGTTTAGCGTGCGAGATGCATGCATAATCGCCTTTTCAGACCCATCAGGAAAAGTATGTGAATTGACGGCACCAACTTCGTGTTTGGAAGCATCTGCAGCAACAACGATCGGCAGCGTCGGGTCGTAGTGCGTGAGCAGCAGATCTAAACTCAGCATCGAATTTGGCTGGGCGAAGGCCTTTTCACAGTCGGGGGACCATCACAGGGAGCATCCTTCTGCAACAGACGGTTGAGCGGGGCCCGTACGTCATGCAGCGATAGTAGGAAGGCGCTATAGTAGCTGATCTGGCCAAGAAACGAACGAAGTTGCGATACATTCTTGGGGGCAGGCATCCGTTGGATGGCCCGAATGTTTTCAGGATCTGGATGGCGACCAGTGACGTCAAAAACGAATCCAAGGAACTTGCTGGAGTCGAGGAAGAATTGGCACTTGTCGGCCCGTAGGCGAAAGCCATATTCCTGCACGCGTTCGAGTACTGCACACACTCGGTCTTGCAGCTCGGCAGGGGAGTGACCCACGATGATGATGTCGTCCAGGTACCCAGCTGTGCCAGGGACGCCGGAGAGCATTGCGCTCATCGTTTGTTAGAATAGGGCCGGGGCGGTCTTGACACCAAAGGGCAGCCTGGTGTATTGGAACAGACCGCGGTGGATATTGATGGTCAACAATTCGCGCGACTCTGGGGCGGCCTCGATCTGTAGGTACGCATCAGCGAGATCCAATTTGGCAAAGCAAGTGCCACCATTCAGCAGGGTGAAGAGATCAGCCGGAACCAGTAATGGATAACAGTTCGGCATCAGCGCGGCATTGAGATCGGTGGAGAAGTCAGCACAAATGCGGACCGAGCCATTGGGCTTCTTAACCACAACGATTGGAGCGGCCCAGGCGGAGTAGGATACAGGAAGCAGAACTCCCAGTTCCTCTAGACGCTTCAATTCAGCCTTGACAAGTGGTAGAGCTGCATATGGGACTGGTCGCTTTGGACGGAAGACTGGTTGACTTCCAGGAGACAGATGTAGCACGGCTTGAGTGTATGTGCAACGACCCAGACCGTCTTGGAACACTGCAGCAAACCGTTGGAGAATGTCCTTGGCTTGGTCTGCAAGCACAGCAGAAATCTGCACCTAACTGCAAACAACGCTGAGCGGCATTTCGGCCAAACCGAGTTGTTCAATCCAGTCGAGACCAAGTAAGTTGAGGTCAGAATTGGTGATGTAGCCGATCGCAGTGATGCTGGTACCGCGGAACGACACACAGCATTGCAGTTGCCCAATTAGCTGTACGAGACCACCACACGCGCTTGTGGCGGACTGGGAAGTCTGCTGCATCGTAGGGCTGCCAAGGGACTGCCAGAGTCTTTCTTAGATGATGGTGACATCTGAGGCAGTGTCCAACTGTAGACGAACTGCATGGCCATTGAGCAAAACGTCAATAAACTTTCTACGACCAGACGCATTGAGCTGGAAAGCGGCCAAGTGACTGAGAGAATTACCAACGGACAGGGGTTTGGGCTTGCGTTTTGGCCGGAAACGGTGCCTGGAATTAGGAGTGGCGGGGGCTGGCTTGCCTCCAGAAGCTGGTACTGATTTGCAGAACCCATCACGGTGTCCCACCTGATTACAGCTTTGGCAGCGATGCTGGCGGAAAGTGCAATCCCGTTGGAAATGCCACGCGCCACAGTGCCGACAAGGAGATGGCGGGGATCTCGACTTGGACACTTGCTTGGGCCGTGTAACAGGATGCGATTTGGTCGATGTGACCGTACGGACTGAGAAAGATGAGGTAGGGTTCTGAATCATTGCAGAGTCGTGCTTGAGGTTGATCAGCGTTTGGCACTCTGCTGCCAGCTCTTGGAGTGTGGTAGAGTTGTTCTGCTGCACTTTGGACAGGAGACGTGTCCGGATATCAGCATCCTTGGGGACTGGAGGCCGCAGATAAATATAAGGCATTTAAACTGGTCTTCAGTGAGAGAACCGAGTTGGAAACGCCCACACTCACGATTGACAATGCCCGCATACGTGATGAAATCATCGGAATCTCGTTTGCACAGTTGCAAGCACTGAAATCGAGTGTTGAAGAGGGATGATTGCTCACCAAAAATCTGCGACAACGTCTGAACCGTGTCCTTGAAAGCGACTTCTCGGGGATTCTTGGGGAGGATGAAGTTTGCATAATGCTCGTGTTCAGCCGGACCCAGTTTGCGAAGTAGAAGTCGGACCTCCCATGCATCGTCCTGGGCAGCCAGATCGACAGAGAACAAGTCCTCGTATCGTTTGTACCAGGAATCAAAGGTGATATGGGCCTGCAGGTCATACAAGAATTCAGTGATGCTGCCGGCAATGTGATCAACAGATCGCTAACCACCTGCCGTGCTTGATTGACCCATGGACGAGTCGGACAGCTTAACGGTGAGTGCCTCCATTAGCTTCAGCTGCTGCTGCAACATCTGCTCCAAGTCTGCGTACTCGTCAGCCATTGTAGTTGAAAAACTGCGTCGCCAATTTGTTATGACCCGCCTGATACGTGAAATCCGTGGAGCGTATACGCACTCGACCCTGGTCCCCAATACCAAGGCAGTAGACAAAGAACACACGGCTGGCCACGGAAAGTGTATTAGCAAAACACTGCAATTCGCGACTAGCTAATGGTGGCGCAGATTTATAACCCGCTACTGCGGTTCGCCGGCATTCAGCCCAATGACCTTCGGGAAGATGGGGGTAGCCAATGGGAAGGCGCCTGATTGAGATGACAGCGCTGTATAGAGGGCAAACGCACGTGATCTCCAATGATTGGTTGGCTCTTGTGTTAGGGAGTGTAGGCACTCCAAAAAAATTGTTAGCAGTGTCCGCATCTATCGCCAAAATTCGTGGCTGGAGGTAGAGAAAACGACCATCTGGCCCTCCTTTATGTTCCGTTCTACCGCAAAGGCCGTTATGGCATAATAGCAGGACTGTTCATGAAAGCGAGAAAGACGGCGCCATTACTGAGTTTCAATAACAACCGCCCAACCAACTACAAACGCACTTGCGTGGGGGCGCCACGTCGGCATGTTGGGGCATATTGCAGTGAGCTAGGACACGAGGTAGTCGAAGTAAATACCTTCGACGGATGCTTGACATGAAGACTGCCCACACAAAGTTGTTGGCAGGTGCATGCGTAGACGAGACGCGAGCTCAAGCTCTAAATTTCGCGATCTCTTCGATATGTCAAGAACATATGGCGGGTCGTCAGACGTCATCATAGAACAACTGGGAGTAGGAGTTGCACACAGCCCAGAAACAACTACCAAGCACCAGATAATAGGGCTCAAAGACCAAATACCCTAACAGGGAACCTAAGGAGTCGTTTACTGCATCCAGTGCAGTTGTGAGCAAAGCAAATACGTCGGAGAATCTTGGAGATTACCTCGGACGCGGGTGGACGAATGTACAACGCAACGAGGAGGAATGACGTCGGCTTCCAAGCCGCGGCGCAGTTAATAAGCTCACTTACAACTTTAAGTTCGATGAGGTCGAATTTCCGCGAGTGGTAACAGCTGCTTGAGCCGCAAACCACTAGAGTAGTACGTTTATGCCCCTCGAACCATTAGTAGGTGCAAGGATCTCCCTCCCGTATTCAGGGCCGAAACTGCCTAGGCGGGGTTATTGGCCGCATGAGGAGGGCACTTAGGGACACCGCTACCGGTAGCAGTGCCAGTCAGCCAATTTTTCGAGTCACTATAATGCCACCAAACAGCACCAGTGACGAAATTGTGGCAATTATTGACTCGGAGGCGATTGACCGAGTAATCATCGCACCAATTACGATCACCTACGATAATTACGAGACTGTTAAATATGTTTGGTATGCGGCTACCCGGTATCTGCATCCTATGAGTTTCGTTTGCTTGGTAGCCCATTATCCTTATCTGACATTGCCTCTGAAGCTGGGTTCGAGTAGGAATTTGAAATACCTGGTGAATACAATTCGTATTCCAGCGCTAGCATCTCATTGTTCCTTTTTCCGTTATGTGAACAGTCCAGACCGATAACTGATCCTGGACAGTCTCATGCTCAGTTTCGCTAAGCAATTGCGTAGGAGTCACTGAGGTGTGTCTTCAAGACAGGCTTCTCGTTCGTGACCATGCATTGTGTTATAAATCAAGCTAATATCGTCCCTTTGCTCTCTGTACCGCAAAAATTCAACTAAGACACTGCAATCTTTTTTAATTAGTTCTGTGTTGTAGACCACTTGCTGGTAACCCCCAGCCTCCAACTTTGTGCCTTTCAGGATTTCCCTAGTCTTTTTTAATTCAAGACCCCCACGCCTGCACGTCATATTCCAAATGACGACTGACTAAGACGCTACTAAGGATATCTTCATGGGGAGCTGTAAACGCCCTTTTGATAGTAGGTAGTCTGGCGATTGAGTATCTGCAGCCTTTATATATAAGTGCTATGGTTTAAAATTGTCCTATGTCCATGCGCAGTTGAGTGCCATTGGAACAATATAGCTCCACGATGTCGACTGGATGGTAGTTAACTAAACGCATATTGGAGGAATCGCGTTCTTGAACATGCAAATTATGCAGCCGTTACTATAGCTAACTCTCTAATCAACGCAAATTATTTTGAAGAACCATCTGGTCAATTATACCCCGAATAACTTTCCTGAGCTTACCTTAATCGGAAAATGTGATCTTGCAGCATCGTTAATAACACAAAAAAGAGGAGGTCGACAACTGACTCCTGAGAAACATCGCTTACTATATCGTCCGACGCGACTAACCACCTCTGGTACAACAGCACGCTTTTGAGTCAATTAAGACTGTCGATACTGAGTTTAGGAGCTATACGCTAATGCCAGGGGCACGTAGTTTATGTCAAATTCTTTGATATCAGACGCTATTGGGGACTTTTCGGAAATAGAGCTACAAATATTTTAGTGCACACTGTGTGTGACCCAACGCGTGAAGTATGTGTAAGTTTACAAGCATTCTCAACAACGGGAAACCGACCTATGCGTATAGATCAAAACACCTAACTATTAATGAAAACCTTTAAGAAAAGAGAAAACAACAAGGTAATATTATGAATAATATTGCGTAGTTTAGAAAAAGCGGTCTTTGGAAAAGTGGAAATGCCGAAAACTATAAAAAACCGCATCAGATGGGCAAAAGAAGTTTTAAAAGTACATAAAGTCTGTCAAAAATGAATAAGTAAACTTCAGAGCATGGGTGAAACGGCGTTCGAACTGTTCCTTAAGCGTAATATTCTATTATATATCCGCCAACAATTGGTGTAACATCAAATATGGCGGTTAATAAGCGTCCTGATTTGAACATGGATTCCAGAACAGTTACGATATTTTGCTGTAATTTTTCGTTTTTGCCCTGGTTGGAATTCGGCTGACTTGGACAAGGAGGATTTCGCTTGGTTTCGCCGACAGCGAATTCGTGGACTAATCGTTCGCATCAGGTCACATGTTCATAGTCAGGCCAGTGACTAATGAATATGAATAGAATTAGCCCATGGAATAGTAGGGTTCCATTCCGTGTATAGCAAAAGGAATTGTCTCCCATAGACCTACT